GGACCCCATTTCTTTCATTTTTTTTATTACAGTTTAAACCTAACACGAAATTCCAATTTTATCCCTATCGTCTCTATCCTCCCAAACCCATATCCAAACCTTCACCCTTACCGTCCCAAACTAGTCACTACCAACTCCGTCACACTTTTCCTCGCCATTCATAGCACTAGCAATCCATCTCTACCTTTGTTATGCTTTTATGGCCCAATAACGACGGCGACTCCCCACTTTGGCCACCTCTTCTCTATCTTAACCATCACCTACCACCAACTCCAGTTGAACCAATTCCCCCCTCTCTCTCTCTCTCCCCATCGATTTCTCTTTCTACTTCACGGCCCGGTCGCCACTACACACGATTTTCTCATCTTTCTCTTCATTCGGTTACACATACTTGTTGAATATGTTTGTGTTAAACAATTGAACATATGCCTTTTGTTCAGCTATATATTACCAAACATCAGGCTTTTGTTCGAAACCGATTTTCTAAACAATGGTAAGAGTGGTCGCGAAGGCAAAATAAAGGGTTGGGATGCTTCTCAAAATGTGAAGAAGATTGCAAAAGTGCGAAGGTGAAGATCAGAAGGAGGAATAGGAGGTCATCGACGAGGGAGAAGGGGACTACCGGATGAGGGAAAGAAGAGTTGTAGGTGGAAGGTGTAGGGGTAGGGTTCAAAGGGTATATTTGGGACTATGGTAAGGGTCCAAAGAAAATTGAAAAGGGAATCAATTTTGGTTTTAGGGTTCAAAGAAATTGGGGGTTATAAGGAAAAATGTAGGTACATTTAGCAACACTCTTTGTTATAAGGAAGCTTTGATCAGAAGCCCTTTTTAAAGTCTCTTGTGAATCTCTCATTTGTACTAAATTGAAAATTGATATAAATAAACTGTAGTATGTCACTGGTTTTGATTCGTCAATTAAAAAATTGAAGGGTTCAGTTCAGTTTGGTGCTAAATCTTCTTGACCCCGATCAAACCAAATCGAGCACTGAAACGCTTAATAAAGAGGGGAAAAAATAGAAGAGAAAAGAATTCTGAGTTTAAAATAGGCCTTTAATAGGGAACAAGAAGAGCCTTTCATTGCCACCTTAATTAAAGAAGCTGTAAACCTACCCAAAAAAAATAAAAAGTACGAGGCCATCGAAAGAATGGGAGCCTAAAGCAGCAGCCTAGTTGGCCTAGATGTAAGGACGGCCTTGCTCACAGGTTCAGACAGCGCCTTCCGGTCCTTTGGACCAAAGAGAATCCAACTCCTTACTTCAAGAAGTTTGCAAAATTAAAGGATGTGACCGTGTTTGTTCTTCGATATAATTGGCCACCTTGCTCCCATTTTGAAGATTGCATCTATTTGAAATTGTACAATTTTAAATGATATGCATGTTTTATATTGGTAAAATCTATATTTATTCCTAACTTTGTTTTTAAAAATAAAAATAAAAATTGATTTTACATTTTAAAACCAGTATTGCACTTGCCATCCATATTGAAAGATTTACGCTGTATTTGGTTGGGGGATTTGAGGAGGGATTTGGAAAGGGAAAAGGAAAAGTTAGGTGAAATGTAAATAAAATATACTTACATTTCACCTAGTTTCACACACATTTTCCCTTTCCCTTTCCAATTCTCTCCCCAAATCCCCCAACCAAACACACCATTAGCGTTTTTTGCAAGTGATAAAAGAGTCTGGGAAGATGAACACAACCAAATGCAATGTCTGTGTATCCAATTGCCTCTCCGCCAAAAAACATGTTTCCCTTAGGCTGTGTTTGGTTAGAGGATTTGATGAGGGAAAGGAAATAGAAAGAAAATGAGAAAGAATTGATAGGATTCGAATTCCAAGTTATGTTTGGTCGAGTTTGGAAATGGAGGTAGAAAGGAGCCTAAGTGAACCTAAAACACTAAAACACAAAAAGTGGGATTGCATTTCTCTCTCACTTTCTTTTCCCTTGTGTTTTCCATTATAACCAAACAAAAGATGGGATTGCATTTCCTTTTCCCTTTCCATTTCTCACACCAAATCTTCCAACCAAACATAGCCTTAAGCTGTTCCTCTATGTATTTCAAGTTCTACACGACCTGAAACAAATGACAAATATATTAATGTAACAATAGGTAACAACTCATACATGTATAATTCAAGTAAAAACAATAAATAAATAAATAAATAATGACAAAGACACATATAATATTGGTGGGGTAAACTCTCCTCCATATTTCATCTCTCCATATCTCTCCATATTCTTCTTATAAGTTTCAATCCGGACTCGTATCAATAATCCTAACTGTCTATCTTGTAAATCTCGCAATAAAGGTCATTCATACAAAAAATCAATTTCATCAGATAATTATAAACAAAAGAATATATAGCATTTTGTTTTATAAAATGAACAATAAATATAATTAAATTTAAACCGCCCATTTTAAAAAACAAAATGCAATTTATTTTTCTGTTTATAATTATCTGGTAAAATTGATTTTTTACATAAATGACTTTTATACTGAAACTTATGAGATAGACGGTTAGAATTATCGGTGCAAGTCCAGATTAAAACCTTAAAAAAAAAAAAAATTAAAAAAAGTATAAAAAGATGAATTGTAGAGGGAGCTTATCCCGTATTACTCAAGTCATAAAGACTTTCTGGACCACCATCCACTCTATCTCTCTCTATAACTCAACATATTTATTTTAGGACCACCACCCACTCTATGTCTCTCTATAACTCAATAATTGCTGTATTCAACAGATTGCTGGTCCCTGTAACCACATCAAAGCAAGGTAAAGCACAACATTGTCCATACAGGTCCACACTCCAATTACGGGACTATGTGGGGTGGCTTATGGAACTACTTATAACATTTTTTATTTTTAAAAACAATTATACCGAAAAGAAGTGCTTTTATTTTGTAACTTACTAAAAAATTACACCAAATAAGCTCTGCAATGCGTTATGATTATGAATAAATTCTAAATACGCGTAATTACTCTCAAACCACACATCAGTCAAGTTCAAGTGTGTTCTGTACTCATGAGAGTCAAATATGAAACCTTCAAAAAATTATCGAATCCTAGCACGGCTGTTTCTACGGACAAGCTAACAAAACCGTCATTTTGAGCCCCAGATTTGAGCTAAAAATTAGGGGCCCCATTTAAGAAAAATCCTTGTAATATTGATTTGTTTTTTAAATCTCGTTTAAATGAAAGGCCCTAATTATTTTAATTTTTAACTTATCAAAACTCAATTAAATTTAGCACTCAACACCAAACTCAAAAACAAAAATATTTTGAGGATCCCAATTATTTTAATTTTAACTTACCAAAACCCAACTAAATTCAACACTTAATACTAAACTCAAAAATAACACAATTATATTAGTGAAGGGTCCAAATGAATTGATTTTACTTTACCAATCTTCTCTCCAACCTAATTCATCATTATGAGATTGAACTTTTATTAGATCTTAATATTCTTTCTAGATGCCTTTAGATTTTGTATCATTTCAAGTTTAATTCAATTGTTTATTGATTGTGCTTAAAAACTAAAATCTCTAGAATTGAATTGATTATTGCTTGTCCAATAATGTAATGATTTTTAATTTATCATACTTTCTACAAAGTATAGAAGAATTAATTGAATCTCAATTAGGAGCTCTTGATTTAATTTTGCAACAAAAAATGCAAAAAAAATAAATAAATAAAGTTTGAGTGACGTTGTGATATAACTCATTCAATTCTTCTTTGATTTATAACTCTAGATTTTTGTATATATATATATATATATATTTGGGTGTGTGTAAATGATTAGAATGTAAAACAACAATATTAGATTTTGTTAGATTTTTGTAATTGACAATCCCGTTGAACAAAACTCTATAAGTTGTATTTTTATTCGCTTTATTGTATCTAAGAGTTATAAAAGTTTAGTTGCGAATCCAACTCGAGTTGTGCCTGTGTAGAGGAGTTTGTACTAACATTCTGGATCTTGACTTGAGCATTCCTTGTTTACCATTTCACCAATTAAGTATGGAGATCAATTGTGCTCTTGAGCAATAAAGTGGTTTATCCAGTATCTCTGCCTGCGTTCTAAACTTATAGGAGACAAGTTTTACCGCTCGAGCAGTGGATGTTGCGCTCGAGTGGTTGGCCTATATGTGAGCGCTGTCTTTAGTCGCACCGCTCGAGCGGTCTTCGCGGCTTAGTCTAGTATAAGTGTGTTGTTTGTGATTTTTAGGGTTTAACCTGTCCAAATTCTAAAATATGAGTAAAATACAAAGTATTTTATATTAGAGGGTGTTTATATATGAGTTTCCTTGATGTACAGAAGGTGATCGATTGATCAGTGCACTATATATTGACAAATATCCAGGGTTATTTTTGGTCTTCTATTCAGAAAATAAGAGAGGTGTTCGGGGCCTAGAGCTTTGGCAGATTCTGAAGTGACTCATTATCGTGAATTCGACATCAGCGTTGTAGATTCAATGTTGGGCAAAACAATTCTGAGGTGAAGAAGAGGTACATTGAGTTTGGTGCAATTCAAATATGAATTCGCTAGGTAATTAAAAGTTCTCGTGTTTAATTCTTTTGTTTTCTTAGTGAATTATTTCGTAACTTTGTCCTATGATTTTTTTATCACAATTGAAAATGCTCCGATTATAATTTGTGTGTATCAATTTGTTATTAATTGTTTAATTAAGATTGCTATTCATTCTTTAAAATTAAATCATAATCACAAATTAATATCTCGATTTTTTTAAAAAATTTTGAGATTTTATCAATATGAATTTTTGTGATAACTTTTTTTAAGTTAATTTTATCTTTCTGACTGAAATGTAAAAATGTAAGCCCCCATAATCTGCGTTTGCGGAATGTTCAGGGCCGGCCCTGGATCCTGGAGCTCTCGAGTTCAGCCCTTAGCCATTGGGTGAGCCAAGAACAAGAAGCAACCCACACTTTTTCTAGAGATCTTGATCACAATAACAATATATTCTTCCATAACATGCAATGAATGACATACACAGACGGGTTTTTGGTTTTTAAAAATAGAAAAAAGAGCATTTCAACAAGCAAGGTAGCTAAAAGAACCTCCTGTACACACCCCCGTTAAATGGTTTTGGTTTTTACACAATATCACCACTTTCATACAAACACACCCAAAAAAAACAAAAACAAAGAAAAAACAATCATCTCTCCATCTACTTTAAATACAAAACACAGAAAAAACAGAAAACAAAGACAACCAAAAGATTTCTCTCCCCTCCCTCGACAAAAACCCCAGCTCTATTTCTCAAATAAATGTGCTGATAGAGAATGACATGTTTGGTTATTTTTTGTAGATTTTTCTACTCTCTGACCTTGGATTTGGATCTGGATTGTCGCTCTTGTCGGTGTCGTAATTCTCCCTCTGTGACTCAGTCTCCATGCTACCTGCTTGAGTTCTACGGTGCCTTCGATCCTAAGATTTTAAGAGTAAATACAATTTAGATACACTTAAATTCTGTTAATAACATTCTCTCCTGTCTATTCAAATTCTGTCACTAGCAAAGACCAACATGCCAGCACTATTAACTGCCATGAACATTTCCTTGATTGAATTGTATGCAACACAGATATGGATACGGGACACGGACATGTACATACCGAAATGTTGATTTTCAAAAAGTGCAGGACACAATATAATTGAGGCACATTAATTATATAAATTTATTATATGTGAAATATATGAATAGTTATTCAAAGGTAATGGGGGAAAATGAAAAAAAAGAAGCATAGCACTAACTAAAATTAAGTCACATACCTGATAATTTAAACATCAAGATATTATTCATGTGTCAATTGAATTCTAAAGAATGCAAAGAATTGTAGAATATTAAAGTACACATGATGTATAATGCATTCATCTTATAAATATTTTAAAATATATTTGGAGTGCATAAGTTGCATTTCGAAAAATGCAAAACTTCTTGTTATGAAGAAATTTATCACTAGGCCATGTTTGGAGGGTTCAAGTGCTGCTGATTTAATGAAAATAAGCTGATTTTCTGTTTAAAACGGGTTCGGTGGTTCATTCGGACCAGAACCTAGACTGGTCAACGGTTCAACCAGTTGAATCGGCCAGTCCATTCCAGTTCTTAAAATATTGCTTTTAACTAATCATTTGAGGACTTTTATGAGACCAATTGACCTATAATGAGGCCACAGAATGAACCAACATTGACTCATGGACTTGAAAGACTTCAACTAAAACAATGAAGCCTAAATTGAGTTATACACACTCTTATTGTTACATTATTAAATGTGTATGAATTATTACGTAGAGTTGCTTGATCTAAGAGGAACCAAAAGGCCTCAAGGACTTGAGGTGAGTAATGGGAGTACTTGGAGTAAGTATTTGAAGTATGTTTTATACAATGCTTCATTTTTATGAATCTATGTATGTTTGAACAACTATATTATTTGGCATGTTCTGAAAAGTCATGGATATACAATGGTTTGAAATGAGATTATGAAGCTACTATGAGCCAACCTTGGGATGTACTACAACAGGGGACTTAAAATAAACCTATTTAGCTAAGTCCTACAATGGGGTACTCCAAGGAAACCAGTATACCATGATGGGCAGAGACGTCCTCAATTACTTGTGGTTTTGATTCATGAAGTAGGAAGTTTAGTACATGATATGGGAAGTATATGAGGTATGATATGATGTAAGGGTACTCCTGTTTAGCCAAGAAGATGAAACATAATGACTATGTTAAGGAGCCACAAGCCCCTTATGTACGGGCTTGCCCATTTTGCTATATGAGATTATGAGTGTTTCCTGATGTACTCTTTGATATGATGCTATATGTTCTCTTTTTAAGTAATAATAAGAAGCTTCAGATTTTGTTATATGGTTATACGATTTGAAAAGAGTACGCTTTGATGCAAATGCTAGTATAAATAGATGCTCAAATTTACACTATTAAAATATGTTCTATTTCAAATGATGTATACTATTTGGCCATTCGATATGAGCATCCTATATTTCTATTCAAGAGTGTATCCATGGTCAACTGTATGCTTCAGTATTCTTATCATTCACTGGGTTAGTGATGCAGGAACCCTCAGACTTGAAACTGACAAAAATAAATTCTCCTAATTTCAATTCATTCAAAGCTGACAAAACCTAACACATAATAGTGACCTATTTATAGGCATCCAAAAAATCCCTAATTAATAGTTTCCAAGAATTTAAAACACTCCAAATAATTAAATCATACCTACTAATTAAAATAATCCAAATAATTAAATCCTACCTAATATTCAAGTATTGATATAATTCCTAAAAATCTAAATTTCCAAAAGTGTTTGATTCCTTCTTCATCCAATACCTTTTATGTCCACATCAATTAGTGTACCTCAAACCGTAGTCTTTCCACTTTTAGGGAATGGAGCCTCAGTTGAGGATCCAACTTTATGTATGTGTACATAAGATGAGGATGACGACTGGAGTCATGCTCATGTGCCACATGAAGGCATCATATATTTTGTGGTTAGAGACTTCATGTACAATCTTGTGAGCGAGGCCATAAAAAGTATGTGTTAGAATGGCCTTGTGTTTGGCCAAGAAAAAGAGTGACTTTTTGTATCATGAAATAGAATACGAACCATAGACGCTTGCTCTTATCAATGAATGAATCAGCCGTGCTAATTATGTTGAACATGATAAAAATTTACAAGCACACAACACTTCAATTCAGTCAGGCCTTTGGTAGCAATGATACTAGCCACTCATGTACCTCGACTCTGTGTGATATGTGGGTTGAGGGATGTGAGGGAAACACACTGCTCTTGCAATTTATGTCAACGTTACTGTAGCTATCAAACGATTCTATCCTTGAAAGAAAAAGCGAAAAAAATGTGAAAGACTATAATTTCAGTTAGTTAACCATGACCAACCAATGAACCATTTTTTTTAAGGCAACAGCATCTAACCACTTGCAATAGATTTCCAACAATAACAATGCCTTTGTGAATCGTAAACAAATGTACACCTTAGGTACAAGTACAGCAGAGCAAGCTATAAGTCACAACACAGCACACATTAGTGCCTTGCATGGCTGATGGTACCGTTCAAATGACAAAGATCAGTAGAAGTAGAAGAAATAAACATCGAGTCCAAGATGGATCCCTTGGAGAAGGATAAGCAAACCATATATGATCAAAGAAAAGACTGAACAACACGATAGAGTGATGCAGACGAGATTTAGGAATATTATATATTTTCATTTTTAATTAATAGTTGATTAGGAATATTTTGGTTTAATTTAATTTCAAATATCCTAGAATTATTAGGATTCCTAAATTGTTTGATTTAATTTTTCTATTTTATGGATTTCTTGTTTTTCAAGAATTAGTACCTTTTTTTTTAGATATTCTTGATTAGCAAGAATTATTTTAGTAAAAATACCTAAGTAAGCCCTAGGGAAAATAAGTTTTTGATTAACAATTCAATTTTGAGAGAGAATATCTCTTGTTTATTTTGTTCGTGATTTTCTGTGTGAATGTTCATTCCATCACCCTTCTCTGCACATCATACAGAGAATACCAAAATGAAGAACAAAAAATGTATAATCCAGGACATATAATCTATGGCCCTTATAGTTGGGCATTATCCCATTTCATTCATTTTTGTCATTATTGAGGATGAGGTCTGCCCTTGTAGTTGGGCATTATCCCATGTTCTTTTTTGTCGTTATAGAGGATGAGGCCAAACGTATGTGATGTGTCAACATCGATTTCCCCTATGGATGATCCAAAACTTGGGGGGGAGGCTAATTTCAAACAGTGGAAGATACTTGTGTCAAAAATATTTAAGATGGTCAATAGAAAGGAAAAATACTTGAGATGCAATTTCAATAAAACAAGAAGATAGAGGAGATGGGTTGCAAAATGTGGCCCAGAATAGCCATTTACAATTCTGAAAGGGAGAGATAGAAGAGGGTACTAACAACAAAATTAGTATGGTTGATAACCCACAAAGATGGAGGGACGGAAAAGGGGGTCACACATAAATTGGAGGAGCTTGAATGGGTTCTTACATCGTTGTGGTTGATGTTTGGCTAGGGCAGTTTAGAGCTTAGATAGGGTGGAAAGATCATTATACCCACAAAAGTAGCAAGCCGATAAGAATGAAATGTATGAATGACAAAACAAGATACTATATCAATACAAAATGTAAAACTAATTCAAGTGAATTTGTATGAGCAGTCATTTTCTTATTTTATAACTTCAAAAAGAACTGTGAGTGCTATACAAACATAATTCAGAAACTGACCTCTCTTGGTATGGGATATTCCTCTGATTCAAGCATACGAACAACTTGGCTCATCTTGGGTCTCTTGTCAGAATCTGGGTCAACACATCTCAAAGCAGTCAGAAGTGCTCGTTTAAGAGCTCTCGTTGATGGCCTGGTTTCAATGTTTGGGTCCACCACTTCCTCTGAGCGCCTGCTTCCAACCATCATTTTCAGCCAATCAACCAGATTTACCTGCATACATTATATGGTTTATGTTCAATGAGATGACCAAACTATGAATGCTTAAAGATTACTATCCAATGCGACGACACCAATAGAAAACATGGGGCTTTTAGTAGGAGTATTTAACGAAAGAAATGAAGCTTCTGAAGATAATAACAGTACAAGTACTGCAACAAAGTTCCATTAGATACTAAACCGAGACCTGCCTAGGAGCCCATAAATGATCCAAAGAGAAACTGCAATTGGAGTGGAAACAAATAGATCCATCAATTGCATATGTCGGATAACTAATGAGGATATGGAGCCAATGGGCCATATGAAATGAATCAATGCATAAAAACTTCTTGACAGTATGTATAAAAGCAGATATATCCACATCTTGAAAGTATAAAAATATGGGAGCTTAAATCTTAAACATTGCAGGTATTTTAATCTGGGAAGTGAGTAACTAGTCAAATGGCAGAGAGTTTGAGTTGTAAAAAGAAGTAATAGTAAGATACTAGTCTATGAATCACATTAATGACGCTATTTAAATGCTAATTAGCAAAAATAAAGAAATTGCAGATGAGAAGCCTTGAAACTTGTGGACATGTTGATGGCTACACAGACATCACATATATTCTATTCCATTAATGGAGTAACCAGTGAAAAAAGGATGGTGGAGAAATATAAACAAGATTCATGTATGTCCTTAATTTTATATATCTTTTTATAAAGGACACAAGTGTAAGAAACTCAATTTTAATGCTACAAGAACGTAAAAGAAAAAGAAAACCTCCTCCCTTTTCCTTTTCAGAGTGATGGTTCAAATTCAAAGAGCTGTAAAGTGAATAGGATAGTCAATAAATAATGTGAAGCAAAGGATCAAATCATCAAGTACAACCTGGATTGTTCTAAATTTTAATCGCGTTGAATTCAAATGGCAGATGGATGATATGATTGTTTCTAGTAATTTTTACACCATATCCAAATTGTCTTAGCACCTACAAACATTTTTCTAATTGTGTGATATCTTTTACAGCAATTAAAAGGATTCATGTATTAAATTATAATAATTAATTTACCTCTTGGGCAGGACGACCATAATCCACTGGATCTCGTCCTGTAATTGCTTCCAGAAGCACAACCCCAAAGCTATAGACATCACTCTTTTCATTCAAAAGGCCAGTATTTGCATATTCAGGAGCTACATATCTGCATAATTTTGAAGGAAAGAAAATGAATATTGAAATATAGCAGTGCTTCTTCCACATCAGTCTAACTTACAATCAATATTCACAATTCAACCAATTAGAACATTAAAAAATGAAAAAGAAAAAAAGAAAAAAGGAACCGAACCAGAGCAAACAAAGTATAAAAAACAAAGACGACTTAAGTAAGATTTGCAGCTCAGCATACACTACACCGAATAATAATAGAATACTAACCCAAAGGTTCCCATAACCCTAGTTGTGATGTGACTTTTTCCAGCACCAAGTAGCTTGGCCAGGCCAAAATCAGAAACCTTGGCGCTGAAGTCGTCATCAATCAATATATTGCTCGACTTAATGTCTCTGTGCACCACTTTTGGCTCAATAGCTTCGTGCAAGTAGGCAAGACTGCAAGAAATCCAACATATAATGAGATCTACAATTTAAAAAATAAAAAATAAAAAAGGAGGCCGGGGGGAATTAACTTACGCCTTAGCCGTGCCAAGGAGAATCTTCATCCTAGCCTCCCAAGTAAGATTTCCATGCTGGCGCATAGCTCCATGAAGCCATTGTTCCAAATTGCCATTGTTGACATACTCATAAACTAACAACCTGAAATGTTTAAATTATGTGAAATAAGTGTTGTTTCTTATATCTTGCAATTAGTAAAAGAATCTAGAAACATAATCAAGACTTCTAACATACTGAAAATAAGAATGGTGCTACCTATGAGTTCCTTCAACGCAATACCCCAAAAGTCTAACCAAATTTTTATGGCGCACATGACCAATAGCTTCAACTTCCACTCTAAATTCCTTCTCTGCTTGGCCCCTGAAAAGACAATTTTTAAACATTCAACTGCAGACGAACTAACAAGAACCATAACGAATACAAGACCGAAGAGTCACAAATCAAAAAGATACAATTTTCAAACATACAGATTGTTGAGAAGCTTTTTGACTGCCACTGGAGTCCCATTAATCAAACGTCCCTGATAAACAACACTATATCCACCCTCACCAAGAAAATTGTCCTTTGAAAATCGGTTTGTTGCATGTTCAAGATCCCTTAATGTAAACCAGTGACCCCAACCCAAATGAGAGAATTCAGGCAGACCAACGAGAGGAGAAGGAGCAGCTATTGACTGTGAAGAAGGCTTATTCACACCATAGTTGCCAGAGTTTCCTTCTTCACCAGATTGAGACCCTCCACCAAAATTATTAAACGAGCCTGACTGACTACTGTTATCTCCGTTCTTCGTTTTCCCCATACCTTGATGGACCATAACCTTTTCTGATCCTTTATCACTGGATTTGTCATGAATGGTGAGTAGAATCCCGTCGCGTGGAACAAATTCATTCTTAGACACTTGCTCCACTTGTACTTCTTTAATTTCCTTGGAAACAGTTGGAATGTGGCTCAGGGGAATCTTGTCTACAGCTTTCCTCGACTTCTTTCGTGAAGTAAGATGAAAGGTTAATGCACAGAGGATAAGTATAATAAATAACCCAACAATGGTCCCAATCAATTCCCAGACTTTGAGACCAAAAATGATTGTTTGTTTGGATAATTCAGCATTCAGATCATTGGCCATTTTTTGAATGTCAAAACACCTACAAAATTAGATAAGGAAGATGATAATGCAACTTTGTAATGAAAAATCTCTCTCTCTCTCTCTCTCCCTCTCATTGATCCCTATATTTTCTATTTTCCAAGAAAAGGTGAAATTTTTTGTATTTCCTTTCAAATGACTAATTTTCATTCATGAGGCCCTAGTAAGGTGTTGAGAAGTTCCCATTCCCCTTCAAACCCAGCAAATTGGAGGGGGGGAAACAAAGGGAAAAAACATGAAAAACACACAGAGACCAGATAAATGCACAAGAGGATACAATAAGCAACAATATCAAAACAAGAAGGAAATTGAGAAAAGAAAAAGGAAATGCATTTCAATCACTGAATAAAGAGATCAGAAAACACAATGGGAATCCAACAACATATGACCATTTTCAGTATCCCATATAAACAAGGGCATTCCATTGGATACAATTAGCAAATGATCTAGGAAAAAAAAAATTATAAAAAAGAAAAACATAAAACATGACATTGTTTATAGAAAGTCCTTCATTTGCTTACCTCTGAGATAAAGACAGAGAAGAACAACCTTCAGAGCTCAGATCTCAGAAAACTCATCACCATACCTTCTCCACAGACAATGAAGAAGACACTAACCCTAGATCTCTGGCCAAACACACACTCATGTCTAACAAGACCACATCCCAAGACACCCAAAGACACCCAAATGAACCCACATCAGAACATGAGTTATATAGCCAATTTGGTTGGATTTCCTATATGGGTTTTTTTCAGGATGGAAAATGTGAGTCTGAATCTAAGCTGAGATGGTGCTTTCAGACAACACATTTCCCTTCCTAAAACCTGTAACCCAGAGACACAAAAGAGAGAGAAAATGGTGGGGATTATAAGAAGGAAAGATGGAGTTATCAGTGGTAGGTGATGAGAAAATGCCTCACACACTAAACAGAGTTAGAATTGGAAGGTACTCTTTGTTGGAATTTTATTTCTTGTGAAGATGACTGATTATCAGAAATTCACTGCCAATTAATTAGGAAAGACTCCTGTGCACATTTTTAAAAGTGTGTATTGTATGTATTTTTATAATTTTTTTAAAAAAAATATTATAATTTTATATTTTATAAGTTATAATTAAAAAAAATTTATGATCACATAATATTTGAGACATAATAAAAAATTTCATGGGTTATAATTAAAATAAAATTATAACTAAACAAAATTAGTTATAACTGAAGAAAAAATAATATAACTTATGAATGCATATGATAGAGGAATGTATAATAAAAATTTTCTAATTATTTTGTTTTTGTCATATACATTGTACTAAACAAAATTGTGAAAATTGTTTATTGAGTTTTTAACTGTTTAGTCCTATAGTTTTGATTATTTAACCGTAAATTTTGTAATTTGTTTTGTTGGTCAAACTTGCTTAAACAAATAAAAATAAGTTGATGATTGTGATGGTGAAGAGGTATAATAGATAAATAAATGAAGCATAGGGAGGAAGATTCAGAAATGGAATAGTTATAGGCCTGTAGCTGCTTTGGACGGTCACTCACTACCAAAATTCCTCCATTAATTTATTCAGCTTACCTGCACCCAACAAATATTGGAATAGATTTCTTTTTTAACAAATTACAATTTATAAAAGAAAAACATAATTCTATTTGGTTTGATTTTTGAAATATTATTTTTAGATGGTTTTTATTCATTTTTTATGACTTTTTTATATTTTAATTATTATTTATAATGTGAACAAAAAAGCACATAAATTTTTATTTGGGTTTTAGTTTATTTTTAGTGAACTTTTTTATATTTTAGGCATCGTTTGGCAAGTGGCTGTTTTAGCCTAAAAATCAAAAAGTTATTGAAAAAATCAAAAAGTCAATAACTTATATCAAAAAATCAAAGATTTTCTTTTCTCTCTACTTTTTGTACATCTTTTCGTAAAAAGTCAAAAAGTCATCCCAAACATACTAGTTTTTTTACCTCATATTTTAGTTAAAAAGTTATTAAAATAGTCTGTTTCCAAACGAGGCCTTAATCATTTTTTTTACCTTTTAAATTCATATATATTAAGTGCATTTAAAAAGTGAGTAAAATAATAAAAAAAAAATTAATAAAAACAAATGGAAACTTAACTAAAAATAATTTTTAAGAATCAACTGAAACTGAGGGGCTGTTTGGGTGTCCTAAATAAGTATATTTTTTATCTTTTTGGACTAAAAAATTGAAGAAAAAATATAGATGTTTGGGTTAACTTTTTGACTTTTAATGAAAAAATGTGTATTAAAAAATTGTATAAATTAGTGTGTGGGGAAAAATTAGGATTGAGAGTTGTGCAGCCGTAATTTTTGACTTTTGGTGAATAGTGATAACTTTTTAATTTTTTAAGTAACTTTTTGACTTTTTTTCAACTTGTCAAACTTGGCCTGAGTTTGAGTGACTTAGGCTCCTTTTGGGAAGTGAGTTATAATCCAATTCTATAACCCACTTTCCGGATTATAACTCACTTCTTCTCTCACAAAAAAGCTGTTTATAAGCAGCTTTTAACTAAAAAGTTGATTGTAACAATTTTTCCAAAATAGCCCTTAGAGAAATGATGTGAAACAAGTATTAGAATCTTTAGAGGTATCTCCAATCCAAAACCATTAGTATTGGGTGAAGGTGCCTCTAAATTATATTAATCAAATTTGGGTAATTAATTAGTATTGAATTAAGGTGTCTCTAGACTAAGTTTGAATAACTTAAAAAAGAAATATGAAATAAATCTCTAACACTATATTCTAATCGTGTATAGAGATAACCGAGAAATAGCACCGAAAATCAAACTTTGATTAATATCACATAATAAGTATTGGAGACAACAAACCTAAGTTAATTCACATTAAATGAAAGGGACTCTAAACTAGATTATTCAAATTAATTAATAAGCAACAAGTGACTTAACACTTGAGTGAAAACAGAATTGCAAAGTCGGTGAACAATTTGAGATAGTCCAAGTCAACCAATATGTAGAGAAAGTCAACCAAGTACAGGGACAAATTTCATAAAATACTTAATTGGCAGCTTTCTAGTGGCTGGTTTGCACTCTATATTTATTTTGACTTAGCCACAAATTATTTATTTATTATTTTTAGATCTCTAATGATAGATACATCTAAACAAGCCAAAAATAAAATAGAAAAAACAATAAGAAAACTCAATGTTCTTGTTTTAAATATTATGTCATATCCATTTTTCATGTATCACTCTTTTTTGTTGGGTAAATTACACTTTACCCTTTTATGTTTAACTATTTTTCACTTTTGACTTTTAAAGTTTTTTTTTTTCTACTTTGACTCTATATTTCAAATTCACTTAACATTGTGTCATTTTTTGTCCAATTTTAAACATAAGTTAACTTTTGGAGTAAATAAGAAAAAAAAACTTAAAATATAAAAGGCCAATATGAAAAAAAAAATACTTTAAGGGTCAAAGTGAAAAAATTTCCAAACATAAAGGAGGAAAGCATAATTTTTCCCTTCTTTATTATACTTTCTTTGTTAATCAAATCAAACATAAAGATTTTCTTGACTATATGAGGTTGTAACCTAATTTTTCCATCTCTTAGCTCCATTCCTAAAAATTCTATGTAGGATTTATTTAATACCATCTTTTTCTTACTGATTATTATTCCATTATTTATGAATTCTTCTAATGTCATATACAAATGATTTATGTGACTACTTTTATCTGGACTGAACACTAATATGTCATCTATATATACCAGTATAAAACTATATTTATTAAATATACTATCCATTTTGCGTCGGAATATAGAAGGTGCATTTTTTAATCCAAAGGGCATAACTAGCCACTCATAATGTCCTTGAGGGCAACAGAAGGCTGTCCATGGTATGCTTTCCTTTTCCATTTTTATCTGCCAAAATCCTGACTTACAATCAAATTTGCTAAATATCTTTGTTGTCTGTATTCTATTTATGAGTTGGTCTTTATCTGGTATATTATATTTATCATCTTCTGTATTATCATTTAATCTTTTATAATTTATCACCATTCTAGCTTTTCCTCTTTTTATCTCTGCATGATTTCTAACCATAAATGCTGCACTCCTATGCGGGCTATTGTTGGGTCTAATTACTCCTAGATCTAGTAATTCTTTAATCTGTGCTCTAAATTCTTCTATGTCTGCTGGTGTATGATCTATTTGTGCTGAGGTAATCCTATAATCTTTGTTTTTTATATCTAGACCAGCTAAAATTTTATTTCTTTCCCAATATTTCATGGGCTGTTCTCCTAAAATTTCTGTTGTTTCAGCTAATCTTATTATCTCATCTAAATCATTTTCGGTTCTCCTGTATATTGGTTTTTTCTTTATTTTTCCTATTTTTGCAAAAATTAATTCTAAATTAGCTGGTTGTTTAAAATCTTCTAGGTTCCAATAATCTTCCTTATTTTCAAAATCAAATTCTTCTAAATCATAATTTTCTGTATCTAAATTTTCTAAAGACGTATTTGCTATCTCATTAGGTATGTATTTTTGGGCTAGGTCGGGAAAAATATTTCTACTTGGAAATAAAAAACTAGCTGGAACTAAATCTACTCCTATGGTACCACCACGCTTCGCGCGCAACTCTGAGGAATGGGCGATGGTGCTAAGGGCATAAGCTGTTGGGGTATGTTGATGTGTTTATATTCATTATTAATGGTGTTAAGTTGATAATTAAATATGTATATATATATATATATTTATTTTATCTTTATGCTTTTATTTATCAGAACATAACTTAAAATTAAAATTGACCGAGTATAGTTATATGCAGATTTCTCAAAAACAACTGTCAAGAGTAATTAATTTTGTTTGATCTTTTAACCCTTTTCTTTTTTTTTCTTTTTACTAAAAAATAAATAGTATAAGGATACATTAGAATTTTATTAAATAATGTAGTGGTACTGCTAAAAAAATTGACACTTTTCAAAGAACATTTTTGTCTCTGAGTTATATAAAATTTAAATTTAAGTAAGAATTACACAAAAATCTTTCTATTTTTTGACACACTTGTATCAATTTAGTTCAATCTATTTTTTACCCATTCAAGAGTCCCAAGTGCTCTTTCGGGAGAGTGTGGTGCTTTTAATTTTTCCCTCATCACCGTTGGTTCTCCCATAAATTATTTATTTATTTTTTATTTTTTTATCACCATGCTAAGCCACTATCGCTCTTCTCGTTTTCATCATCAGACTTGCTACGGAGAAAACTTTCAAATTTGGGCTTAGATCTAATTCTTAACCGAGATCCTATTCTTCTTTTGGGGACATATTTTTGAATAACGACACATGGCTAAGGTGGCACCGAAGTGTCAACCGAGGTGTCACGTGTCTTGGTCATGGCACGAAGATAATCTTGGCTAGGCCGAGGTTATCTGCAGAGATACCGGAGTCCGAAATAAACAGATAAGTTATAAGAGTCCTAGAATGGGAAAGGATTTTAGCCTGGATAAGGATAAAACTCTTAAGAAGTTTATCTTTATCTATTAGAGAGTCCATGATAAGCATTGAGCTAGAGTCCATTAAAGCTAGGCTGCTACAGGGATCAGGTCAGTGTTGGCTATAAAAGTAAGGCACCCTCGTGGGTCTAAGGTACGCTTTTTGTATTCTGACTAGTGAGTTAAGCACTAATTATTATCTTTGAGAGATAATTGAGTATTAACTTGATCGTCGGAGTGCCTCCGAGTGGAAGAACCACCGCCGGAGTCTCATTTTTCTGTAACAAGTCGTTTGGGCGCAATCTATTCTGTCGGTGTTCTCCAACTGAGTACCTGGTTAGTAGTGTGGTCAAAAAATAGCACACACAATTTGGCGCCGTCTATGGGAAAGAAAAGAGAATAGATGGCCAATGACGGATAGAAAGATAAGGTTGGGGACGACATCCCTACTGCGAGTGGTAAGCACATTAACCCTAACGTGGAGGAGG